GATAGTCCACACACACACACACACACACACACACCAACACACACACACACACACACACACACACACACACACACACACACACACACACACACACAGTGAACCCTGGACAGACTTGGTATTAAGCATGTACTCTGTGTTGTCAAAGACAGTGGAAACAAATTCCCAGATTTGCCCTTTGACAGGTTCTTTCCTAATCATTACCACATCCTTCCACCAAGTTTCATGGAAATCAGTTTTTGGGTAAACTTTCTTAAAACGAACTGACAAACTATCGGACAGGGGTGAATACATAGAGATAAAAGATAAATGATACTTTTAGAACTGTTTAGCTTAACCACTGTTGTCAAAACTTTTAGGCTTGTAAAGATTTTGTCTAATGCAAATAAAAAAATTGACTGAAGTATTGCACATATACTTCTCATACGATGTTTTACAGGAAAACATTTTCTTCTTAATCCACAACGTTTAACTATAGTTACCTCTCAGATTTAGATGTAACATTTTAAAAACATATGAATAACACACATTTCTGGAGATAAAACTCATGCTTCACATTTTTTTCTTTTTGAGCTGTGGCCTCTTAAAGAAAATCAGTGTCCAGCCGAAGATTTTTTATTTTTTTTTCTTCATTCCCCTCCAATTAATTAACTCGTGTCCCGTATTTCTCTTGTGTCCCTTTGGAGGGCCTGGAACCCTAGGTTGGAAACCACTGGACTAAACTGTGGTTGAAAGCAGCTTGGGTAGCTGCAGCAGTGAAATGCTGCTGAAGCTTCGATGACTCAGGACTAACGATCAGAGATCAGTTGAAGTTTGTGCTTTTACATTTTGAGCATTTCTGGTTTGAAAGCTTTTCAAAAATGAGAAACCTGAGTTGATGGGCACGAACGCAACAGCTGACTTTCACCTGAAACAAACTCAACAAAGGCTGCGTATTGGCTGTCACTATTCAAAATGGTTCAGATGCCACGGGGGGGGGGGGGTTAAAGCCTCAGGCTCGCTCTGAATCGACTCACAAAAACACACAAACCTGTTCCCATGTGTTTCCATGGGTTTCAGTGGAGAGACGTTGAGTGTTAGGGTATCGCCTGTCATGTTGTTTACTTTTATTTCATTGTGTTCTAACTCTGCCTTTAGAACAAGTGCAGGATCATGTTCCGTCGTGTTGTTTTCTACAGGTGCGACCTTCTAAACCAACAAAGAACGTTCCCTCTTTTACTTGAGTTTCTTTGAGGCAGCATTAGAGGATTCGAACTCTTTTTACTGACTAGATGCCAAAAAGGCTGGAAACAAACTTGTCTGTTCAATTTGATTGGTGGAACATTTCTCATGCATTACATGAACCTCAAACAAATTAAATACAATATTTAAATAGATGTTTTTCCAGTTATTTCCACACCCTGAACACAGGCTAATGCTAGCATTAACATGTTGATATCGAAGTCTCATCTGCTGAGATTAGGTGTAATTATTTTCAACTTTTTTCCAAATTCTGCACCAGAGATAACCAGTGGATCACCCACTAGTTTGTTTATAAAAAAAACATGAATACTAATGCAATTTATTTAAGCTTAACTATAAACTACAAAAACATTCTTTTTCAAAAAATGTATCAATAAAGTGAAACAGAGAAAAAATTAAACAACAAAAGAACACAGCGTTGGTTAAATTAACGTATACATATAAACAGATATAGATAAATAACCACACACACTCAAATATATAAACACAAACATCAGCTATTTAATATTAAATTATGAGCAGACAATTTAATAAAAAGGAGGTTTCTAAAGTGAAATAAAAGTTTATCTGCCCTCGACACAAAAGCTTTGTTAAACAAATTCAAACTAGCTGCTGTTATTACATGTAAAAGTAAATTTAAAAGAAAGAAACCAGAATGAAAGAGCTGTTCAGATGCAATATTATCTCAGATCAAACATCATTATTAGAAATGAACTGCTCGCATCTTTGTTGTCCTGCTCATGATGCAGCCGGGCCAGTTCAGTCCAGGTCTGATGAAACTCACACTTGAACTGTCAGTCAGGGTTTGATTTGCATCAGAGTGAGGGAACTGGGCGTGTTTGTGGGCTCTCTATAAAACCAGTGTGGGGGATTCAGGAGGTGCGAACCACTTGTTTAGGAACAAGTGAGGTATTATTACTAGGTGGGCCAACTACACTGTTTCTCACTGAACCACTCATTTGATCCCTAAGCAGTTTTCAGTATATGAGCTACTTCGGTGTACTATCCCTTTCAATACAGATGCAGTCAGGTCTTATCTCACCGTCACTTGGCTTCTGGGCTGGAAGCAGCTGCAGCTATTCACTCATGCACTTTTTCTCATATGCCATCCTCGGCATAAACTCATACTCTGTCCTGCTAACCTTGGCAAGGACTCATTTACTCTATAGATCTACTTACAGACTTTATTAGGACAGAATCCCTCCACAGGACCCAAGTCAAAGTCCCCCCTAGTCTTTTTCACTTTTTGAGGCCTCTTGTCCCGGTTGGGGGCTATTTTCTCTCTCTCTCTCTCTGTCTCTATGCCCCCAAATTTTTTACTCTTCTAGACTAATCGGTTGTTTGATAAACGCAAAAAAAACATGAAGATTTTAATGATGATGGTCGTTACTCTAATCTGAAATGTGCTGTTTGATCTTGTGTTCAGTTTTTGAGCAGGTTTGTTGTTCTATAGAAAGATCATACAATAAAACAGCATTTTGCATCAGAGTGTGTTTAGTGATCAACGTCCACAGTGCGGAGCTGATCTATAGGCGACAACAGGACATGGCATCTGTTGACTGTTCAGGGAGGCGTGGATCGATCGGGGGCCCCGTCACTCCGGATCAATATTTACATTGACTGATAACCTTGACGTGTCCTCGCTCGTCAGAGAACAGGCTGAACATTTTGAACGATGTCTAAATCTCCAGCAATATCAAACAAGCTCAGTTCTGAGGTGCTACAGCTTTTACATACAGTTGATAATTTAGTGCATCTCATTAATATCTGACTTCAGGTAACGCTGCATCACAGGTCCTCTAATTATAAGAAGAGAAACGCAACACACCTCACAGCCTCATTATTACAATAAGTTGTCTTTAATGTGTTCATTTACATCAAATCTACTCTAATCTGAGATGTTTTTCTTTTCCAGCCCGTAGTTTCAATGTTGTGAAAGCTGAAGCCATGATCAGAAAGGTGAGCACTTTGTTCAGTCTCCTGCTGTTTGAGTGATGACTTATGACTACTGCTTCTCCTTCCACTGCACCACCAACGGAAATTAGGCCCCCCCAAAAAACTGTTTTGCTAATCTTATGATACAGTTAAAGATTAAACCTGCGTTTACCAACCTCTTACACTTGTGATAGTGTAGCCTGTATCTAGTTGACTCTGTTTCTCGTTCAAGGGCACAGTTCAAAGAGGTCATGTAGCAGAACTTTTTTTTTTTTCTTTAGTGGTCTTTCATTAATCATCTCAGGACCCCTCTGGTTCTGTTCAGACTTTGTATTAACATCTGTCCTGACAGATGTGATCACAAGTGGACAGCTGTTCTCCCCTGTTGTTAAAATGCGTCCTGGATGTGTCTCCAGTGTCCACTTGTGATTGGATCTCCATATAATCTTCATGTTGTGGCCACAAGTAAATCAATGAATGTAAAACACTTAAATGTGTAAAAATATTTTCAGAGCATCATGAAACTGTAGCAGGCCATGTCAGCGGAGTAGGTGGTCCTTCAATGTGCCCTTCAGTTCATGCGATTGTGGCCACATGAGTGATCGGATCTCAAATGTGTCCACGGTGCACCTCAGAGCTGTCCACTTGTGATCTGATCACTCAGGGTGGATGTTAATACAGGTCTGAACAGGGCAGTGACCCTTTGCAGGGGCCTGACCCCAAGGTTAGGAGCCATTGGACTGAAGATGAAAGAGAAAAACTAAGATAAATGAAAGGAAAGACAAACAAATGCAGATGCTCTCACGTCACCTTTGGTCAACACAGACCAATGCTCATTATTGATTATTTTCTCTGGATTATTTCTCAGTTTTGTTTATCATCTTTTTGTCAAAAATTTCAAATAATTGTGAGAAATCCCCATTTCTATTTTACACAATCAAAGTGGACAACTTTACATGTCTTGTTTTGTGCGACCGAAAGATCACGGTCTGTTGATCAGACCAAACAAAACCCTGAGACAATCAGTCTAATGTCAAAAGTGAAATATATACATTTCATAAAGTGTAACCAGAAAATGTCGACACTTTTTCCTCAAAAAATAATCAAAACACTGAATCATTTAAAAACACCGTTGCTTCAGAAAGAATGAGTTTTCATAAAGCAGGAAAATGACGAGTGAATCAATTTCTGTATTGATCCACAACATGTGTGTAGAATGTGAAGCTGGGAACTCTCTCTTAGAGCTGGTGTGCTTGTTGGTGAATTTTCCAGAATCGATTAGCTGACTGATTGACAGCTGCACTTTATGTTGGTTTGTCCTTTAATCTGTAACCCGCCTGTTTACCTGTGTATTAGTTACACCTGCTTTATTTGTATGTGAAGATCACGAGGCTGGGAGCTCAGCATGCGTGGATGCTGCCTATAACTGCTACCTCTCTTCCTCTGTCTGTCTGCAGCATGTGGAGTTCAGGAGGCAGATGAAAGTAGACACCATCATCTCGGACTGGAAGCCTCCAGAGGTGAACGTGCTCTAACGACACATGTTCACAGACACACATGAATTTTTAAAATGAATTAAATGAGACTGATCTCAGTTTTATCCTCGTCAGGTGATTGAGAAGTATGCGTCCGGAGGTATGTGTGGTTATGACAGAGAGGGGAGCCCCATCTGGTACGATGTGATTGGTCCTCTGGATCCCAAAGGTCTGCTGCAGTCAGCCACCAAACAGGACTTGCTGAAGACCAAGATCAGACACACGGAGATGCTGCGACAAGAGTGTCAGAGGCAGTCGGAGAAGGTCAGGACCAAGACATCTGTCCCCTCTCTGCTGTCGTTCTGTCCCTTCTTCAACTTATCCATCCCTCTCTCTGTCTCTCTCAGTTGGGGAGGAACATTGAAGCCATCACTCTGATCCACGACTGTGAAGGCCTGGGACTGAAACACATATGGAAACCTGCTGTTGAGACATATGGAGAGGTTTGTCCTTCACTTACTCTGATTCCATCTCTCCATCCATGTTTAACGGCTGCAGCCTGTCACTGCTCTCTCTCCCTCCCCTGCAGATCCTCACCATGTTTGAGGAGAACTATCCAGAGGGTCTGAAAAGGGTCCTTCTTATCAAAGGTACCTCAGCTCCTCTGTGGCTCTTTTCCTCTGGGTGCTTGTCTGACCTGATTTTAGACTTGTGTTAATGTCACCCTGCTAATTCTCTCCTGGTGTTCTGCTTTTGCCGCAGCTCCTAAATTGTTTCCCATGGCCTACAACCTGATCAAGCACTTCCTCTGTGAGGAAACAAGGAACAAGATCATCGTTTTAGGAAGTGAGTCAACTTCTGACCTTTGTCTTTTTAACCCAGTGTGCAGAGTCCTGCAGCACAGTGGTGCTCGGAGCTAAATGCTAATGTAAGCATGCTAACATGCCCACAATGATAACTTAAGCAGGCAGTGGTGCAAAAATCATCCAGTTCATTTATTTATGTAATAACAGCAATAAATACCACACACTGAAAATTAAGTATTGCAAACAAAATGCACTGAGTACTTATTATGCAGAGTGGCATTATTATTATTAGTTGTATTGGTGTTGTTGTTGTTGTTATTCTATATTTCACATTTAAGTCATATTTCATAAACTGACCATATTATTTCTCAAATAAATGTAGTGGAATAAAAAGAGTGTATGTGTGAGGGGAAGAGTTTAGAAAACAGGTTTACACTTTTCCAATACTGATGAACACAAGGAGTTATGAGTCATTGTAATTATCCTTTTGTCCTCACTGGCAGCACCGACATCTCTACTCAAAGTGACCTCACAGTGTGTCTGTGTGTGTGTGTGTGTGTGTGTGTGTGTGTGTGTGTGTGTGTGTGAGAGAGAGAGAGAGAGTGTGTGAGTGTGATGAGTACAATGGCCATAGGCCTTGAACCTAATTTGAGCTGACTTCTCTTGCTGTGACTCAGCAGGAAAAAAACTCTTTTAGGGGAAACACTGAGGACATTTTATGCTAAAATGACAAACAAAGTTTTCCACTTGTTCTGTTCATCTCTCTGCTGAGGCCTCCTGTAGACCTTTAGAACATCTTCCTACACAGAACCAAGTCTGTGGATTTTCTCTCCTTTATCATTTACTGTCGTGACCTTTCAAATTAAACCCTGTGGTGGTGCCGAGGACCACATGGGATTTTTCAGCCTGTGCCAAACAGTAACACTGACTTTGCCATATGAGCAGGACTAAAAGCTTTTAACTTTTAATCAAATCAACATGCTTCCTTCGGCTGTCTGTAGGTAACTGGCAAGAGGTTTTACGTAAACATATTGACCCAGAGCAGCTTCCTGTGGTGTATGGAGGAACCCTGACTGATCCCGATGGAGACCCCAGCTGCAGAACCATGGTGAGAACACATGGAACACAGAAACACAGAAAACACTGACTGGGAGCGTCTTTGTGGAATGTGGTGATGTTATTCAGGTGAGGATGTTTTGTGTGTTGCGTTTGCAGATCAAGTACGGTGGTACAGTGCCCAGGTCCTACTATGTTCAGGACATGGTGAAGGTTCAGTACGACAATAGCGTGACCATCAGCCGCGGCTCTGTCTTCCAGCTGGAGTGTGCTGTCACTGCACCCAGCAGCCGCCTGAGGTACAAAATTCATTCATTTTATTTTTTACAGTGATCCAACTAAGCAAGATCTGTACACATACAACCCATAAAGTGCTGTTTGGGGCCTTCTGCAGCAGCTCTGCAATGTTTATCAGCTTGATCAGTGTGCTGCTTTTCAAAATACAAAATTTTTACATTATTTTGAGAAAATCCTCACTTTTTGAAACTCATTATGAATTATTTCCATAAACACCAGCCCTGAGCTTGCTGGAGGTTTTGGGCTTAGAAACCCTTGCACAAAATCACAAAGTGAGTCTTTATCTTCTATAAATTGTGTAAGAGTTTTAATGCTGTTCTTATGGAGATCCTACAAACGTGTCACAGATGAAGATTTACAAAACACAGGAGAGAGTTGTGATCAACCCCCGCTCATTCCCAGGTGTCAGTTTGCCAGTGAAGGAGCAGATATCGGGTTCGGAGTTTACAGACAGACCAAAGACGGCGGCGGTCAGAAAGTAGCTGAGATGCTGCAGGTGCTGCCCAGTGAACGCTACAATGCACATCTGGTCCCTGAAGACAGCTGGCTCACCTGCCCTGAGCCTGGAGTCTGTGAGTAACCACTTCTCTACTGTATATCAGTGTAGTTACAGGAATAGGTTGACAGATTACTGGATTACTCCTTCAGTCGATCTCTCATAATACAGTGGATAAATGCGTTTCCCCAAAATGATTCCGCCGCTGTAAGATCCTGCAGGATTAACCTCTGTGAATTCTGTCCTTCACTTTGTGCAGACGTGCTGTGCTTTGATAACAGCTACAGCATCCTTCAGTCTAAGAGGGTGAGCTACAAAGTCGAGGTTCTTCCTCCTCCTCTGGACGGACAGATGCAGAATCCTCACAGCAGAGGAGACGGGAGGCTGCAGTGATCGAGTCCTCACGTGAAAATCACAGATCCCTGATCAGTGCTCCTGCCTCTGGGATGGATTAACCCTCTTTCGGGTAAACTGGACAAAAAATGACCAGTGGACTAGTAACCTCTCTACCCCCCCAACCCCCCCAGTTCATTGTGTATGTATTAGTTTGTAATTAGAGTTACTTGATTAAAGAGTATCTGAACAGCAGGAAAAGCTAATTTCACTTGTGACCAAACCGAGCATCACTGATCTGTGTTTGGTTGTGTGGCAGTCTTTACATGACCAGGCTCTAGTTATGTGGGGAAATGAAAACCTGCACATATCGTACATTCAGCAGATCACTAGGTGGATTTCACTCGTAACCCCAAACATGACGTCCATATTCTAATGGTTGAAGTCTTGTTGCGTCTGAGCAAAAAAGCGTTGAACAGCTACAACGGGTCAATTGTTCAGTGGTGAAAACTGACTTCAACAGGAGAAATGGATCTGGGGAAATCAAGTTTCTAAAATCCCCCAGCCAGATTACACAAACCAGGCTTTTGTTTACAGGAAGTCACTTAAAGGTGCTGCTATATGTAGGTTTTTGCTGTCGCTATAGCCAATATTAGCATTAATGAATAGCTGTTTACTTACTGGTAATTCACAGTAATCTGAGCTCACCATCACACTTCATTCCTTAACTCACTGAATCACTAACGCACATTTTATTTCTGCTTCTATGACTTCTGTCTGTTACAATGTTTTATATTCGTGTAAACACAACAATACCTGAAGCTCCTGGCAAGTGACCACAGGCTCCGAGAAATCGACTGTAAGCTGGTTGTTAGAGGGTATGCAAACAGACTGGGTGATGTCACGGTGCACTGACGCACTCTGCCTCACCACAGCCAGCTGAGAGGACAAACCACAGGAGACTGGCCTTAACAAAAAGTTTCACCTTTTGTTATGTCGCTATTTAAACACATGTATTTCAGAGCATGTAAACAGGAGCTCAACTGAAATAATAAAGGCTTTAAGATTTTTATTTTTACATTTTAACTCAGGGTGTGATTTGTTGGTGCAGATCACCAAACAAATTTGCATTTACAATTTTATCTTACACATATTCATACTGAGTTCACCCAAAACCAATGCACTTCAAACACATCTTACAGTCACAACTCTGACAACTATTGGGATAAATACATGTATCACAAATCTTTGAAGTAGCTTTTTTTATCCACCTATCCAGATTTTATTACAATAAAAAGAACCACACACCCTAATGAATATGGATGAATATTTTTCTACCTTACAGCATAGTATGAATCTGAAATTCTGCATAATGCTTCAAGCTTTGTTTTCCTCCCCCCAGCCATACAATAAAAAACAAATGTTAGAGATAAATATACAGAATGTATATGTAGATGTCTGTCTAACTGACTTTTTAATTTACTGTCTTAAACATTTTTGTTTTAGTGTTGAATATACAAACAAGTGTACGTACAAAGAGATTTGGTGGTGGTTGAGTTAAAGTCACAAAACTCTCTTTTCAGCTTCTTTGAGAGCTGCTGTGTTTCCTGTGTGGGGTGAACATTTAGAAAAAGTGAGGACAGTACTGAGACATGTGTCCTGTAAAAATGTTTTTAATCACACAGCAGTTTTGCTTTGAAGGTAATCAAGATTCAAAGATTTTGAGAGACCTTGATTCCTCCAGCATTTCAACCCAGAAAGTGTTTAGTAAAGAAGAATGCATAGTGTGTTGTTCCAGACACTCAACTCAAGTGTTTGAATTGTGTGTTTCAAAGAAGCGAACCCACTAAACACATGCGCACTGAAGTAACATGTATGTACTGTTGTAATGTGTTGAAATGAAGGATCTTAGTCCATAATAAGTATGTCAAACAAATAAATTTTTGTAAACTGGTTACATTTAGCTTGCATGGGAATGTTACTCATAATAAAGTCAGAAATTGTATATTCATATATGCACATTATTGCTGCTTTTATTGCATCACGCTTACATACATAAATAATTGATCCTGTGTGCAGTAAAGATTTCTAATAGGACACATTTTAAATGCCATCACTTAATCACTATTGAGAACAAGCAGATCCATTTTGATCTTTTCAAATACTTCAGAGTTGTACAGATTATTAGACTAATAATAATAATAATAAAGTGTAAAAATAAAAAAACATGTCTTAGTGACATTAATCAGATCATCAACCCTGAGTCATTGATGCTTCAGCAGCATTTTACTCTTGTAGCTGCTACTTTATATGCAATTTTATATATATATACACTCATTCTACCAATGCGTTTTTGCTGTAACATTACCAGTTTCCAACTCCACGTCACTTTCAGTGCTGTGACCAGTGGGTGGCGCTGTAAGCCAAGACACAGGAAGAAGCAGTATTACATAACTGCCAGTCACTGACTATTAGGACCTAATAATAAATCAAGACATCAGACACCACTCCACTGAGTTATCATCAGAAAAATGAATGGATATTCAGAGGAAGTAAAATGATGGGGAAACAGTAGCTCCGAATATCACCTTTATTATTATTATTGTTATTATTATACAGATGGAGCAGGTCCCAGCTGTCTCTGGACTAAACACTGAGTGTGTCTCCACCCAGCATCCCTGGAGCGAGCTGGGTGCCAGAGGGATGCAGGGATGGTGCAGGAGGATGATGAGGACTGGGAGGATCAGGAGGAGGAGGAGGAGGAGGAGGATAGGGGGGTGGAAGGTGGGGATGGGGAGGAGGGTGAAGATGAAGATGAAGATGAGGATGAGGAGGATGGGGAGATGGCTTCCGGGGGGGCTGGTGCACAGATGCCATGTGCCTTTACATAACAGCTGACTCCGGATTCCATTGGATGAGAAAGTGCTGTGTGCAGCAACAGCAGCAGCAGCAGTAGCAGCAGCAGCAGCACAGACCCCCCTCTGCTGTGTGCGAGCTGCCGCATTGCCCAGAGCCTGTCAGGGAGAATAGCGAGGCCGTGGAGGGGGGAGGTGGGCGGGGGTGAGTGGAGGGTGACTTGGGGTAAATGCACGTGCAAGTTTGGACGCGGCTCCGCAGTGCATCACCACAAACAGCGGGTCAAAACCAGCAGCCTGTGAGCTGCGTGTCCGAGGGAGAGACGTGGAGGGAGATGAGGGGGGGGGTGTGTTTGTTTATTAGCTCTACCTGTCCCTGCCCGGTAGGCGGTGAAAACGCGCGCGTGTCCCCGTGTGTGTGCGTGCGTGCGTGTGCTGGGGGGGCGGAGCCGCTCGGACATGAGTAAATGACGTCAGCTCGCAGGTCGCCGAAGCAGTGAAACAAACATGGCGACAGAATGGAGCGGGCAGCAGGGTTATGTTCTCACTGTCATCATCTGCCTGTGGAGCGCGGTCGGTGGGCGGACGGAGACGGCGGTTGCGGCGGCGGCGGCGGCAGCGGGGTTCGGCGGCAGGGGCAGCGGCGGGAGCCAGGTGCTCGGCATGCGGCTCGAGAGGAGCGACAAGCCCGCCAGCACCAATGACGACGGTGTCATCCAGGTGACTGAGGAGAGCTCCGTGCAGCTCCGGTTTTACGGGGTGCAGCTTCACTCGGGCGCCTGGACGCAGATCCGCTTCACGGAGCTCGTGGACGGAGGCGGCGGCGTGGACGAAGAGGAGGATGGGGAGGAGGTGGTAGCGGCGGCGAGGGGCGGCAGCGGCATGATGGACGCGCCGGACAGGACTTGTGCTGATTTCACGAAGGACATCAGCGTCGGGACCTTCATGAACGTCAGCAGTCACCGCACCTCGGGGCTGATCTCCTTCCAAGTCAAGCCGCTCCGCAAGAGCGAGCCGCAGAAGGAGTACGCGCTGTGCACGCTGAGCGCCGACGGGAGCAGGTGGGTGCAGCTGGGGGACAGTGATGGCAGGGTGCTGGTGGTGGAGGAGAAGAAGTCCCTGCTGCCCATGTGGCTGCAGGTCATCCTCATCTTCTTCCTGCTGACGCTCTCGGGGATGTTCAGCGGCTTGAACCTGGGGCTGATGGCGCTGGACCCCATGGAGCTGCGCATCGTCCAGAGCTGCGGCACCGACAAGGAGAAGAAATACGCACGGAAAATCGAGCCCATCCGCAGCAAAGGGAACTATCTCCTGTGCTCACTCCTCCTGGGGAACGTCCTGGTCAACACCACCCTCACCATCCTCCTGGACGACCTGACCGGATCAGGTCTGGGCGCGGTGGTCGCCTCCACCGTTGGGATCGTCATCTTCGGGGAGATCGTTCCCCAGGCGCTGTGCTCCCGCCACGGACTGGCCGTGGGTGCCAACACCATCGTGCTGACCAAGTTCTTCATGTTCCTCACCTTCCCGGTGTCCTTCCCCGTCAGCAAGCTGCTGGACGTGCTGCTGGGCCAGGAGATCGGCACCGTGTACAACCGGGAGAAGCTGGTGGAGATGCTGAAAGTGACGGAGCCCTACAACGACCTGGTCAAGGAGGAGATGAACATGATCCAGGGCGCTCTGGAGCTCAGGACCAAGACTGTGGAGGACGTGATGACGCCGCTGGGGAACTGCTTCATGATCCAGGCGGACGCGGTGCTGGATTTCAACACCATGTCGGAGATCATGGAGAGCGGCTACACCCGCATACCCGTGTACGACGACGAGAGGTCCAACATCGTGGACATCCTGTACGTGAAGGACCTGGCGTTCGTGGACCCGGACGACTGCACCACCCTGAAGACCATCACCAAGTTCTACAACCACCCCGTGCACTTTGTGTTCCATGACACCAAGCTGGACGCCATGCTGGAGGAGTTCAAGAAAGGTGCGTCAACCCACACGTGTGTGTGTGTTTGTGTGTGTGTGTTTGTGTTTGTGTGCACTTTCATCGCCATCTTCATCATCATCACAGCAGCTGCTTTCTCTGAGGCTGCACTGAAATCAGCTGCAGTCTTCATCCTCACTGCATCCAGACGCAAACACACACTCCCCACCTTCAGGCTGTGTCTGTGTCGATCAGCACTATCGATGAGTGGAACATCCCAGCCTACATTATAGCTCTCACCACAGGCAGCAGCTGAACAAATGTGATGCACAGTGCAGCACATAAACAAACGGTCCACCAGTTAAAAGCACATTTTACTTGTGCTCATCATTCGAGCATTTTTCTCTGAGGAGGTGCTTTCAACCTCAACACAACTGATCTGAGACATGCAGAGCCAGCCTTTAATATCAAGTCACGTGTTTTTCTTTCTCCTTTCTCTTAGAGGGCGGATTCCTTTTTTGCATTCAGCAAACAATATGCAAAAAAAGATTATTTTCGGCGCAATTTTATTGGGAATTTTGAATTTCGATAGGTCTGAATGAAAAATACATTTTTAAATAATGATGATGTGATTCTAACTTCTGAACTGTAGGCCAATGCAAAAACAGACATTTGAGGCCTGTTTGGTGTGGTGCATTCAGGCAAACAAGACACATCAGAAGTTTTATGATCAAACACGTGATATGATGAGGAATACCTTTATGATCAATATAAGCTTTAGAGTGTCTGTCTGTTATTTGCAGTGGTATCTTGGAAAATGTGTTTCTGACCATACTTTGGTTGACCTTGACTTTTGACCTTTGACTGATCGGCTCCTAAATTGAATCATCTGGAAATACCCTCCTTTGTAATATTCCTCCTTTCATATGTTGTGGAGTTATTTGATTCTCATTCTCTCTCTCTCACACACAAACACACAGATTCAGAAAGAGAAACAGTACCCAGCTTTTGTCTCTCTGCAGGCATAGATAGATTACTTTATTCATCCCCAAAGGCATGCTGGGTAACTGTCAAATATGAGTGCAAAGACAAGACTCATCATGTGTATTTTTTTATTCATTAGCCACATCAGTGTTTTATATAATCTGACTTTTATTCCCTCTTAATACTCAGCAGTGGATTTCACTGATGATCGTCTACTGTCAGAAACTAATCGGTGAAATCAGCTGCTGCCCTAATGTCTGATGGGATGAAAATGTGCACATTCAGGCGCACAGGATTAGTGCAGGACATCGCAGCACTGATATCCACACCTTGAATACAAAGCGTGTATCACAACAACGTTGCGCCTGCAGAGGCTTATTTTGTTGATAGTGTAAGTTTAATGTTCAGAGTCCATCCTGCTTGCAGGGAGCAGTGGCCATTTACACAGAGCAGCATCTGTGGTTAAATGAGAACAATATGTGATAAAAGATGAATCTTATTCTTAAACTGTGAATTACCCTGACAGTTATTTTCTGGATTAGTTGTAGAGCTGCAAATAACAATTATTTGTATTATTGCTAAATCTCTTAAATGATTCAGTTAATTGAAAATGGCTAAACGTGCCCTTCATACCTCTCCAGAAGGTGAAGTCCTCAAATGTCTTGTTTTGTTACAACCAACTGTCCACACCCCAGAGATATTCAGTTTACTCTGTTAATCCATTCTGAAACGAGTTGCAAATTAATCGTCTCTCAATCAACTTGTATTATTTAATCAGCTTCACACTAGGCACATGCATTGTAAACTGCTGGAGAATGTGCAGTGCTGTGTTTGATGCTATTGTGAGACGTGATATGTTCAATATTAATATAAAGTTTAATGAACAGATGACCAGCGCTCTCTAGCAGACAGTGGTGGCGGGGACAGTGTGCAATCAGTGGGTGGACCGAGTTGAACATTTCTTTTTCCTCAGGATAATTACAGCAGGTCAGGCACCGGATCAAACCTTGGGTCAAAATTGCAGATCATTCCTATAATTTGGCTATTTTTATTTCACCATATTGGACAGACAGACTGACCAATGATGTCATGGCAACAACATTCTCAGAATAATTTCCTGTTTGGCTATTTGTTTTCAAAGTAAAAGCATGTTTGTTTTGTTGCTCCAATGCTTCATCCGTAGAGGCATTAAACACACACATGAACACTAATAAAGCAAATTCAG